ACTGGAAGTAGATGGCTATAATCTGGGTATACCACCCTTTCAACTTGGAAATGATCACATTTAACGTTCTTGTTTCCACCTTGTTACCCTACTATTACCACGACTATTACTGAGCTGTAATCAAAAGTGCTACCTTTTTTTTCTTTTTTTTTCTCCCCCCTTTTTCCCCTTTCCCCCCCTGCTTACACTTCTGGTGTGAATATCTCATAAACAAGAGGCAGAGTCACATTTGATCAAACTGAGTAAAACATGCCCATGTTAAAAGATACTGCTGTGGGTGCAGTATGAAGTCAAATAAGGTTATTTACGGTTCACAGGTTGCTCAGCAGAGGATGATTTAAAAGTATTTGGCAATTTTTTTTTTCATCTGCTAGAAAATAATTAATCTTTGAATTGGGATATTTTTTTAGAAGATGTGGGATCAAATTAGGGACTGAAGGCACTCCCTTAGTGCTCTCTGAAATAAACTGAGCTAAATCTTTTTGTTTGTTTTCTGCAGTAATTATGTTTTTCCAGCTACACACAAGTAAGACTGCTTCTACAGCACGGACAGAATAAAGACCCTCAGCAAAAAAGAACAAATATCAACATTCAACTGCCTTATCCTATTAGTGAAAAGGAAAAAAATACCAACAAAAACTCAAAATCTATTGATTGTTTCATGGCTCAAATTACATTTATTTTTCATATTCCTCATCACAAATTTCTTTACATTTGTGTCCCTGATTATGAATTTTCACCAGTTTATGCTCATATGTGTGCATGGACCTGGAACTAATATTTTCAAAACATGAAACAAACATTTTTAAAGACTTAAAAAAAAATTTTTTTTTAAAAATATTTTGTTTAAAATATGTTTTGATGATTTGGTTAGGTTTATGGAATTTAAAAAAAAAAGAAGACTTGGTTAAGGTTAGGCGTACTGGCCTATGTTTAGAAAGAACACCGTGGATTTGTTTAAAACAGCTAAGCTTTATTTTTCTTGGTTGCAATGGTGACACCTTCCCGTTGAAATGCATTATGTACAAATTAGTGCTCACTCACACAATCACTTCACCTTGGAAAAATAACAGCTCAAAGAAATCATTAAAAGCTCAAAATTACATCCATGCCCATTATTATAGGCTCAAATAATCCTGTTCAAAAGCATGTATGACTGTTTTACAATGTTGGTCCTTGTGACAAAGCGGATGAGCAGTTGGAACTCTCTCCACTTGTCTCAGCAGTATTACATTTTTGCACATTAATCACATTATTTTCTACATATGTTTATTTGCTATGATTAATTTTGTCAAAGTACTATCCTGGGTTTGTTTGTGTACGCATTGTGCTGCAGCTTTATGTGAATCTCAGCCCTTTGTGTTGAATTTTAGATTTCTCAGCTCAAGTTAGCGGTACTGCCTAGACTAACTGAAGGTAAATTGACAGCCCTATATAGTCAGTCTCAGTTTGATTCAGAGGAAGAAGTAGAGGTGAGCTGTGTTTTAAAATTTTTGTCATATGTTAATTTGGGTGAGTTCTGTTAATTTTCAATATAATGGAGGTCACTGTAAATAAATCGCTCATCTATGGGAACCCCAAATGTCTGCTGAGTTTGCTTACCTTGACACTTTCCTTGACATTCGAGCCAGACTACTTCACAGTCCTTTGGCCACACACCTTTACCAAAGTAAGATTAAGATTAAGATTCTTTATTGTCAAGTTTTATTATTATTGTTGTTTATTGATATAATAAACAATAACACTCCCTCAGCCCTACTGTAGACGCTGTTATTAAGTTCAATTCAAATCAGCTATTTACCACCAAATCACAACAATCCCCTCAAGGTGTTTGTTACTTTTTCCGCTTCTTTTACTGCATCATAATGGATGAGTTATAATTGTTTTATTTCTGTATTTTCTGTTATTTGCAAAGATCATAAACATTTGTTTGTCCTACAGTGAGTCATTCTCTGAAGTATCTTGTCACTGGATCCTCTGGAGACCCAAACATCTCAGAGCTTATGTATGTTGCAGTGGTTGATGACACGGAGGTGCTTTATTGCGATGCCAGCAAGAAGATAGTAGAACCAAGACAGGACTGGGTGAAAAAAATGTTTGATGACAACCCTGACATGTTGTTGGGGTACACTCATGAGTGTTTTGAGCATCAGCCAATTTTTTTCAAAAGCTTGATTTCTAATTGGAAGCAGCTTTTAAACCAAAATGAAGGTGCAGTACTTTCTTTGATATACTATGTCATATTATCATGTATGTATCTACACAAAACTGATTAATTATAAAATTCGTTAAAATAATTAACTTAATTAATCTTAATTGAAACCAGGAATCCTGATGTAAAACATGTATTTACTTGTTCTAATTATTTAATTGTTCTGAATCTTAATCTTAAAAAACGGGCACATCAGACTTTTAAATCATCCACGATTTTATTTACGGTCAATAAAGACAATGTAGAATTTTGATAGAAGAAATGTGTCACGCAATGTACAAATGACACGTAATTGTAATCTTTGTTTCTCTTTCTCTTTCCAGGTGTTCACATTTTACAGAGCATAATTGGCTGCAATGTGAATGAAAACTCTGGAGAGGTTTCATGCTTTTTACAGTTTGGTTTTAACGGAGAAGGTATTTTTGAATTTGATCCGAAGACAAAGACAATCATCACACTGAAACCAGAGCTTCAAATTAGCGAACAGATGCTGAATGATCACAGAAATCTAATTAAATACGTTGAAAACCTCTTCAGTATGTTTCATCCGAAACTGAAGATTTTTTTGGACTATGGGAGCAGCTCTTTGAACAAAAAAGGTAACAGCTGTGTTGAGCTTAAAGTCAGAATTTTCCATGTTGCGAAAATGACTCTTTTTACCTGGCCAATCGACAGTGTGCAAACAACCAGAAATTTTTTTTTTTCACTTGACAAGCTCAACCCTAACAATACACAGACAAACCCTTAAAACACAGGCTCCAAACAGGTCCCAGTTCAATAAGGAGCGATCATTAAAAAGAATGAACATGATTTATTGATCAACAGAATATAGATTAAGGTGTTTGGCGGTTAGACCCCAATGGCCTGTCTCGGCAGAGCAGAACCCCAGCTGTAAAAGGGATTAGACCAGGACTGCCCAGAGCCTAGATGCTGGTGGTGGAGATGAAGGTGGCTTGAATGGAGCCTGAGTCATGAACAGTGGAGATGGGGAGGAGGTGCACAACTGTGTCTGCGAAGGAGAAAGACAGATGCGCTGTGAGATTTAAAGTATGAGGCATGAACACTGATTGGCCTGGAGAGGGCTGGGAGAAGGTGATTGGACTAGACCAGTGATAACGCAAACGCCTTGACAGTGTGGGAAAGTGGGAGTGATAAAGTGATAAAGCTTAGATTTAGCCGGCAGCACCTTGGAATGGACAGATGTGAGGCTATAGATCTTCCTTATTGAACTTATTGAACTTAAAACTTATAGAAGTCCAAGCGCTTTTCTTTCAAAGCTCCTTAGACTACAATGACCTGGATGACTGAGAACCTTCACAGACACACTGGGGAACAGAGTTAATTGTGATTCCAGAAAATACCAAACTATGATCACAAGATGGCAGTAATGCAAACAGGAATGAAAGAAGCTTCAGGACTGAAGCTCTCTCCATTCATTCTCATACAGAGATGAATGGAGAGTGATCAATTTGACTTTGGCTTTAACCAATATCTATTTTTGGATTTTACTAGGCGTTGGTTGCCTTGCTTGCACTGATGGAATGCAACTTGTGCCACCGATTTTGGCAATTTCCCCATTTTAAACTGTTGATGAGTTTAAAATGGGCTAGATGTCAAAACTGGTCGTTTTATATAAATGTTCACGGTTGAAAGAGATTTCTATGAACGGAACCCATGGTATTGGTAATACAGCCTTATGGAGCTGCTGAAAAGCTGGTGACTCTTTGGCTCTAATGATTAAAGTAATTTGAAGTTTTGAATTGCATATTCAATCTTTTTTTCCGTTTTTTTTCTTGAGTTCCACATTTTCCACTGCTATTGTGGTGTTTTTCTCATCAAATATATTTTTGTTAATATCTTCATATTAAAGTTTATCATCTTTGTTCTTCTTGCCTTTCTTCACCAATTTTTTCTCACTCGTGTTTACATTCATCCATTCTCTCTTCATTTCTTTCCCACCTTCCCTCTCTCCAGTTCCTCCCTCAGTGTCTCTTCTCCAGAAGACTTTCTCCTCTCCAGTCAGCTGCCACGCTACAGGTTTCTATCCTGACAGAGCCGTGATGTTGTGGAAAAAAGATGGAGTGGAGATTCATGATGGTGTGGATCTTGGAGAAATCATCCCCAACAATGATGGGACCTTCCAGACAATTGTTGAACTGAATGTTTCATCAGTCACACCTGAAGACTGGAACAGATACGACTGTGTGTTTGAGCTCTCTGGTGTTAGGAACATCATCACAAAACTGGATAGAACACGAATCAGATCCAACAGGAGTGAGAGAACCGGTAATGATTAAGTTGGGAGAAACACATTTATTTTGTCTGCTGATACTGTTGGTTGATATTTGAATGTTTTGTCCTGTTTTTTATTTGGACTCTGATCTCAATTAGTTATTACCATAATAAAAACTAATGGAAATCATAACAGAAAACAAAAATGACAAACTTATTATTAACTTATATTATTATTTAATTTATATGTATACATTACATGTATAGTTACATTCGTTGAGACTCACGTAGTGTAATCAACTCCCCTCACCATTATGTTGTTAATAGAAATCCACCACAGAATGGACATCTTCTCTTCTAACCTGCTTAATTTGCACATTTTATCTTCTGTGTTTTCTACTGAGCAGATAATCCCTCTGACACAACAGCTCCAGTCATTGCTATAGTCGTTGCTCTTCTTATTTTCATCATCATTGCCGCCGTTGGATTTGCTGTTTACAAAAAGAAGAAAGGTGAGAGTTTCAAAGGAGCTAAGTTCATCAGTGCAGTGAGCAGCTGCAGTGCACGGCTCAGTTATATTATTTTTTGCAGCATAGTACATGTTAGACTTTATTTGTTTAATTGTAAAGAACTTAAAACTGAAAAATCTGGATATGAAACAATGATTTTAATAATATTGTACTTTTTTCTGTGGACCTTACAGCTCCTGAGAACAGCACTGAAGTCTCTGTGAGACTCAATCAAGAGACTTCCTCATCTATATAGTATTCTATTTTTAATTAACTCTTTTGTTCTTTAATGTAAACCTGATGGTTTGTAGAATTTTTTTTCCTCTTATTATTTTAAAAAGATTTTTTAATCATTTAAGTGACTTGCACTAGCTTTATTTTTTATGTCATTCACGCAGCAAAGAGCGGTGTAAAAGTGAAGAAACATTATGACAATTCCAAGGCTCCATGAGCAGTGGCGGAGCCAGGAAATTTTCAGTGGGCTGGCCAGGATGGATCTGTGATCATTCTGGGTTGGTATACATATCTCACAGAAAATACAGAGCTATTTAACCCTTCTAAGTGGGAGTGTTCTCATTAAATCCCGGTAGAATTGCAACCAAATAAGCTAGAGCAAAAAATTTTTTGCATATAAAAAGGAGGAGTTGTAGTTACATATCATGCATTCAACTTGTCCGAGGTTGCCGTTTCCTTCCATTATTGGCTTTGCAAAAATAGTTTAAAAAGCGCATGCAAGAAAAAAACCCATTATAATCCAACAAAGAGCTTTTCTGATCTAATCAGCTGTTCACAGCACTTTGGAATAAACATCATCAAGTTTTTAGCAGAAACTATCACAAGTCCGCCGTTACGTCCAAAAACTGGAAGTGATGTCATTTTCGCGGCAAATGTAGTTCTTTTCCCTACAAGCTCTTTCAAAAAGTTCACTGGTGGTATTGAAAGTCATGTCTGACTTTATGCCTTTCTGTATAGTTCCTGGGAGACTTTAAAACTTAAATCGTACTATTGGAAATAGTTTATTTTGATGCACATCCTGTATTTTGCAAAGTTTAATTGCAATTTTGCAATATGCAAATATGCAAATATCTTTGTTTTTGCTGTAGTTTATACAAATTAATTTATCTCAAATTAAATTATGAAGACACTGAAAATAAATTTCCTGTATTTGGAAACTATTTTGTGCAACTTTTTTGCAGTTACAGTTTTGGGGGATATACCTCTGAAATTTCTGTAATTAGAAAACTGTGTAAAAAGAAAAAACGAAAAACAAAAACAAAACCAACCAACATACCACACAAACAAAAAAAACAAAACAGAAATTATTTTTAATGTCTTTGTAGTTTCTTGCACTTTTTTAAAAGCAATTTATGTAGTTACTATGGACTTAATGCATACATATTATTAAACTTTAGGATATAACAGTTGTATTGATGTATTGCAACTTCAAATGCTCCAAAAAATGTCACTACAGCATATAAAAACATAAAGATAAGCTCTGGCAGGTTTGTTTTAAAAGGGTTGCACCTAAACCACACATCTCTACAATATTTGGAAGATTAAATAATATTTGGTGTCTAACTTTTTTCCTTATTTTTGCAGTAAAAAAAAGAAGCTGACACTATACAAGTCTAGCACAACTTACAGACAGTTTTATTGTGTTTTACTACTGCTAAGAGTAAAAAGTATAAAAGGCAGTGAAAAGATATTAGTTTGAAAAGTGTCAGCACCAGAATGTACGTTAAAATTAATTAAGTATTTTTTCTTCACTTATATGAAATTAAGTATTTTGGATTATTAGTACTTGCTGTATTTGTTGCGCTATTGCTCTAGATATTTATATGCTTTATATATTTTGTGGTAAGTTAATTTACAGCATTAAATCATATTTTTAAGGATTTGATGTGTGTTTTAGGAAATGATGTGATACTATGTTAGAGCCGTTACACCAGATAATTGGTCCCCCCCCTTTTTCCCCCCCTTTTCTCTACTTCCCTGGTGATGGTATTCATGGGGAAAAAGGTATTAACTATAGAAATGCAAAATGAAGTCAGTAATTTATATATAAATTTACATTAAAAGAAGGTTTAATGGCTGTTTGTAACCAAGAAATGCAATTGAGAAATGCTTTAGGATTTTAGATTTATTTGCATATTTTGCACTTTTTGGTGATGAATGTAGATGAATAAACATTTATTTAAAAAACAATTCTGCCCTGTTCAACTCATTTAGCAAAAATCTGCCTATTTAAATCTCTGAAATCTTCATTCATGCCTGTGAGACTCATTTAGACACTTGGACACCCAGTATCATTAAAATGAAGCCAGATGTTTCTCCTTTTATGCTTTTGCACGTTTCTTCACTTTTCCCCAAAACTCTTACAGTTAAATCCGGCTCCACCATCTCTCAGTGTATCTGGCCTTACCACGATACTTGCTGGCTTGGGAACGTCTGCCCCCCTTCTTCTTACAGATAATGGTATGACCCTACTCTGTCTTTGCATGTGATTGGCTGCATGGTGTGTCCAACAAAATAAAGCCCCACCCCTGACTGCATGGATTTAGGCCCTAGTTTTAGACCAAAAAGACACCATTAATAAATGTTTGTTATACTGTGAACAGTCACACTAGCAGAGTATTTGTATGATGATTATCATCATACTAGAGATGGTTTAAAAGACAAACACTATGTATCCAAGGTAAGCAAGAAACTAACCTTTATTTGTCACATACACAATCATACAGACTACATACAACATGTAGCAAAATACTTGTGTCCGAGCTGCAGATGAAGCCACGCCATTCCAGGGCTTGGTTTTTAGCATAGCTGGTCTAGCCAGGACCCTTACTGGATACTGGGTAGGAATCAAACTTGTGATTCCCACTCCAGCTGGTACAGATAGGCCTGTAAATAACTTCACTCTTTATACAGCATCTCTTTTCTACCACAACAACAACTGTAAGTAACACCACAGCATTATCAGGAACAAACTATAACAGCTATATAACCACAACAGTAAATGGAATTCCTTAAACTCAACAAGAAACACATTGTTTCAGATAAATGTTACATCTAGTCATTCTGAACACTTACTTGTGTAACTCAGTGAAAACAGAAGGCTTCGCAATAATTTTGCAATTGGAGCTAAATGGTAGGTTGCTCCACGGTGTTTTTTTTTTTTTTTAACTACATGCCATTCCTTCCTCATATTTAGCAAGATGATATCTAATTTTCTTGAATTCCTTATAGTTTTGTTTTCTTTCTATCTTTCTTTTTGTGTTTTCTTCTTTCTGTGTTTTCATTTGCACAGTTTGTTGCATACTATATACTCTTCAATCTCAAAAAATTAATATAGCTGCATCCAGTGCAGGACACAATGCAAATGTCTTTAAAGATTTTAAAGATTTTAAATTCTGCACATTTTATGAAATTAAATAACTCGTTACTTTTCTGAAATCATGAAGAGGTTGTTTTACCATTTGTTCTTTGTTTTCACAAACCAAAAGCTGTTCTCAATATTGGATTATTGATAAACATTTGAAGGTGGCTATGACATTAAAACTCAGATAAGGGAGTGATGAATGTCACAGTTCAAGCAAACAACACATTTAACCTATGAAGCAAAAGCAAAATCAATTTAAAAATAGAAACACTGTGAGCAGGTTTTTTTTTTATTATCAGGAAGTGTTGAGAGAAAAGTGATGAAGAAAGAAGATTAAGAACACTAAAAGGCTTGTTTGGTGGGACAATAGTGAGACTTTAATTGTTACAGCCTGCTGATTTATAATCTGGATCATAACCTACTCTGTTTATGATTATTTTGTCAGCATAAGTTGCCATGGCAGTACAACCCAGAAAGAAGTGAACTATCTTGGTTGTACAGAAAGATTATCCCAGAAGTCACCCGGACGAGCCGACACTGCTTTGTAATACAGACCTCAACAGAAATGGCCATACTTAACTGAAAAAGTAAATTTTCACACATGTTAGCTCTTTAATATTTTACATTTATATTCAGCTCTTACAAAAAGTCACAAATAGTGATTAAGCTTGTGATGAACACACTGCTTGGAAATACAAGGAATTAAGAAAACATGGAAAGTTTGTCTGCTGAGTGTACATTGTATTCTTATATTTCATCCCCAAGTAAAACAGCATTTTACATTAACTGCCATATCATTTAGCTCACAAGCTCAGTTCAGGATACTGATGCCAACCTTTAGTACCAAAAGAGCATTTAATTTAATACGTTATAAACTGATAGCTCTTAATATCCCAAATGGAAAAGAAATATCTTTATTTGAAATACTATTTCAAATATTTGTGATTTGTGATGTTGATCTGTATTATAATAAGCTGTGTAGACCACCTGTCTTTTATCTTTTGGAAATGATTGACCTTTTTATTTAAAAAAAAAAAAAGACAGCGTATGCACCTAAATGACTTTTTTTTTTTCCAAATGTCTATGAGTCTTCCTGTGATATATTGCACACATCACACATATTTTATATTACACTTGTTTTGCCACAGCTGTAGTAGCTCTAGCCCAGACCTCATCTGAAAGGGAACAGAACTCAAATACAAATACATATAACCCCCCTAATTCAAACTGAGATGAAAATAGTGTTCATATTAGTGTTCATCTTACCTCTGCATCACTAAGTAAGATTACATTTACATTATTTTTTAAAAGCAAAGTAAGACCTGTTGTATTTACACTTAAAGCAGAACTAAAAGAGTCAGTCACATGGTTAATAAATCTCTACACTGGGCCACCACAGCAAAGTTAAGATAGAGCAGGAGAGGCATTTTCTCTAGGGGCAGAACTGGTAGAGTGAACTCACCACACACACACTAGTGTAGTGGACTGTGAGCACACATTGGTATATGGGGATATGTTACTGACATTAATTATTCATAAAATCTCTGTAAGATTAAAGTCAACCTTTGAACGGCGTATCGTTTAAAGGCTTTAAAAACAGAACCGTATTAAGTCTTAACATCACTAATGTCACGTGACTTTGCCGACATGTAAACAAAAGTAGTGTTTACTCTTCGGCCACCTCATTTGAGCCATCTGCAGTCTTTTTTTTTTTTTAACTCATCCACCTAAAATGTGCATAAAAAATTCACAATACATATCTCATAATTATAGTATATTATATTCAAACGTACTACTCCACTAGTTAATTACATAATTAGCACAAGCACTCTCCAACCTATTATAAGATTGTGTTGTATATTATTATATATAGTTTATTTTTTATAAATAATGAAAACCCATGTCACAAGCAAAAGGAGAACACACCATGGCTCATCTTTAAACCAGGAATGATTTATCAATAAAACAGACGTAACGTAATTTTTTCACCCCCCAAAAAAATATATGCTCAAAGCACCAGATCAGCCTGATGTCAGACATATGCAAACAGAAGCTGTCAATTCAGCTCTGTTGAATGAGTGATCATAATGAAGAAGTTGTAGTTTCAAACTGTCCTTCATATGTTTGTCCACCAGATGCCACCAAAGATGACTGTATTGAAAAGCTCCAAGTAATGAAATACGAGCTTCTGTGCTTCAGGAAACTAAAATAAACTGAAAAAAAGTCCACACAACTAACCTTACAAAACATTCAAGTGTCATGACAGAACTTTTAAAAGATATTGTATTAAATGTCTTGAACAAATTCAAAGAGAAGCTACAGATTATTTTGTTCTTTAGAAGCTCAGAGGTTCAGAGGCTATGGAGAGTTCAAAACTTATCTGGAATCTTGCCCATCTCATGACATAGAGATTCAGTGGATACATTACAGTACATTACATTACAATATTTCTCTTTGTTCATATTAATGCTTCTTTGTGCGATCCTTGACAACAACACTGCTTGATGGCCGTGGAAGAAGGATGACATCTTTGATCATGATAATGTGTCTTGGCCCTACAACAACAACAACACAGAAACTATATTTCATATTTCTTCATCATTTACTGCATTTACCTATACTATTATTATTGAGTACTCTCGCCCAACTTAGAATTACACTTAACTGTCATAGTTTTTAAAAATAAAATAAAATAAAATGTTACTGAGGTCACAGTTCATGTTGTGTAAAAGTTGCACAGTGGGCCCTCTGAAAGTTGCTATTCTATATATGAGCTGAGTGTATGGCAAAAGCATGTGCATAAACACAAAATGTTAAGAGCTTTGACAATTTAACTTCAGTGAGTCTTGAATAAAAATAAGTAATATAAAAATGTAATATAATAAAATACAATAATAAAAAAACCCAAATGCCCCAATTCAACTACAGTGCTAAAAATATTTTTA